ACGTCATAGCCGTATCTTTCGGCGTCTTCAAACAGTGCGGGTTGATCGCTCTAGGTCCCGACGCCGGGTGTTTGGCGTTTAGGTCCCCGGCGATAATGGTCGGTGTTTCGCCTTCCATCACCGTCCGGACGTCTGAGGAGCAGAATGGAGTCCCTGGCGGGCGGTATGCTGCGTAGATCCTAAGTTCCTCGCCCGTCGCCTCCATTTTTATACCGATAGAGCGCATCGTTTGGTACTCCGGTAGTTCGAGCTCTTGATGAACGATGTTCCTTCTCACTAGAATCGCCGTGCCTCTGTAGGCGGCCCCTTGAGAAGTGACCTCGTCCCTCCTGTAAAGATGGTAGTTAGGCAGCTTTATGTGCGTACTTGGGTTTAATTTTGTCTCTCCCAGCAAGATGACCTGTATGTCTTGTTGTTGGGCGACAGTGCAGAGTTCATGTAGCTTCTGCTGGATTCCACCCGGATTCCAGTAGAGGAGGCGCAGGTTAGACTCCTCCATAGTGCCGAGTCAGGAGGTTTGCCAGCGCCTTCATCACCGCTGTAATGGGATCTGTCCCGGCTCTGATGTCTGCCAGGACCTGACTGCCGACTTCGATTGCTATGCCAACCAAGCGCTGGATGGCGTCAGCAGTCTCGAAGCCGGCTGATGGTGTTCTCGGAGCCTGTGAAGGCGTTGGCACTGTTCTCGGGTGTTGTTGAACTGGTTTTTGTGTATGGGTAGAGCGCGCTCTATGTATAGAGCGGGCTCTGTTTTCGGATAGAGCCCTTTCTGGCACTCTACCCATTCTGATTTTATTTTCTTTGGTAACCTGCGCCTGGGCTATGGTTACCGTTGGGGTTGGGGTAGAGGTTGCTGCCTGAGGAGGGGGGCTGCACCTTCTCCTTCTTCTTCCTCCTCCGCTTACTCCTCTGCGAGGTTTGGCGCTCAATTGCGTCGTTAGCGGGGGGGGGAGGAGAGTCGCCCCGGTGTTTGCCTTGGATGTAATGGTGATCGGCACCACCGTTTCTATGGGTGCCGAGACGGGTGGAGGGGGGGGCAGGTTGCCTTCCCTTTCCTCTTATTGTAGTCCACCCCTTTTCCTGGACCACGGCCCTGGGACGACTCTGTGGGACTCTTCTGGGCTCTTCTGGGAGAATTCCCGGTAGAGCAATCCCCTGCTTCCTTGCAATCCTCCTCAGGACTAGGCAGCGGCGATCGTTGGCGGTATGATTTTTGGCGCAATTTGCGCATCGCGGTTCTTCGTCTCTACCCCTTGAGCAGTTACTGGCGATTTGATCTACGGCGCAGCGAACACACTTCACTGGCCTGAAGCAATTTGTAGATGCATGGCCAAAGGCCTGGCAGAGGTGGCAGTGTGATGGGCCCGCTCTTCCTTGCCAGGCCTCTATGACGACTCCTCTCATGAATAGGAGTTCGTCGATCTGATATAGCTCATTGAGGCGCTCCAGGATCAGGTGGTCCAGCTGCGCGAAGTAGAGGCACCCAGGTCTGCCTCTACGGGGGGGCGGGATCCCTTTCACGTACTTGATCGGGAACCCCTTTGCCCTAATAGCCCCCTCTATTGTGGATGGATCCGTGCCCACTGGTAGCCCCCGTATGCCCACTTTTGTGGGCTTGTCCTCTTCAGGAGTATAACAGTACCAGGACATGGCTGGTACTTTGTCGGTCATCTCTATCAGGTACTTCTGTACCGCCCGGAATTCTTCCGGGGGGTAAATCTAACCCCCTTACCGAACGGACGAGCATTCGGTGGGTAGCCCAACTTCCTGTTGAGCACCTCGAAGTGCTTCGTCCAGTCCGGTAAGCACTCAGCCACTATGGGCGGGTATCTCTTAGCTGTTTCTTCCGTTGGATGAGGAAGTGGTTCGGTGTTAGTGCTTCTTCATCAAGGTTCTCAGAGAAGTGTGTGAGAGGTCGAGAGTTGACCATGTGCTCGGCTTCTAGGAGGAGAGTGTGGAGTACCTCCTCTCGTGGATACTTTTCGTTAAGTGTAGCGTCTAGTGCGGTCTTGACTGATCGCACCAAGCGTTCCCATGCGCCACCCATATTTGTCGCACCTGGAGGGATGAATTTCCATTGCACGCCGATCTTCTCTGCTTCTGAGGTGAGGTCTTCTTGCTGCAAGGTGTCGAACGCTTCTTTTATTTCTTTGTTGGCGCCGACGAAATTGGTCCCGTTGTCGCTGTAGATTTTCTTAGGCATCCCTCTTCTTGCGGCGAATCGTCGTAGCGCCATGATCATGCTGTCGGTGGAGAGGGAAGGAGTTAGCTCAATGTGTACAGCCCTTGTTGTGAGGCATGTAAATAGTGCTCCCCATCTCTTTTTGTGCCGTCTTGCCACGGTGATTGTCATCGGGCCGAAGTAGTCCACGCCCGTGCACGTAAAAGGAGGATATCCGTGCATCAGCCTTTCCGCCGGTAAGTTGCCTGTTGGTATTTCTTGCGGTCTTGCTTTCTTCGTTTGGCACCGTTGACATTGATGCTGAACCGCCTTGATTGCTGACCTTAGACCGAGTACTCAGAAGCGTTGTCGTATTTCATTCATCACCGTTGCGTGATTTCCATGATTGAAGCGGCAGTGGAATTCTTCTATGATGAGCTGTGTTGTCTTGTCTTTGCTGTCGAGCACGATGGGTGGTTTGTAGTCCCTGGTCACACCATGTATCGCGTCGATTCTTCCTTTTAGCCGCAGGAGACTGTTTTCTAGTACTACGTCAAGCCTTTTCAATTTACTGCTGCCCTCTAATTGCTTCCCTTGCTGAAGGCACTTGATGTCTTCTCTGAAACTGTTGTCTTGGCTTCTTTTCAGCAAAAGAGTTTCAGCTTGCTTAAGTAGTTCGTTGTCCAGCGGTACGTATTTTCTTTTTTTTTCGAAGATCTGTGTTGCTTCTCTATAGTCTTCGTTCCTTTTATTTGTGTCATTTTCCAGGTGGGATCATTTTTGCAGACGTTGACCTTCTCACTTTTTCTGCAGAGTTGTAAGAACTGCAGTACTCTCGCTGTGGCTCGCAAAAGCCTTTTCCATGAAGAGAATCTCTCAGGGTCTGGTGATGGATGAGATGTTTGTGCTGTTGCTGCGACGTTCGCTGCTCTTTCTTCGCCGGTGGTTGTTTTCTTGAAGGTTCTTGGTGCCAGCCAATGTGCCTCTTCTTTTTTCAGGAAGCTTGGTCCGGTGTACCATCGGTGGTTGCAGTCGAAGTCTTCTGGTACGTCACTCGTTGCGTCATCTGCAGGATTCTGCGCTGTAGGCAACCATCTCCAGTCTTGCGGTTATGTGAAGTCCTCTATCTCCGCCAAGCGATGAGCCACGAACGTCTTGAAGGTTCTCGGGTCTGTTTTTATCCAGGAAAGTACGATGCTGGAGTCTGTCCAAAATGTTTTCTTTGTTACTTTCAGGTCCAATTCCTCTTCCGCTGAATGAGCCAGGGTCGTTCCTAGGAGGGCTGCCTGTAGTTTGATTCTCGGGATGGACACTGGCTTCAGTGGAGTGACTCTTGCCTTTGCTGCCACTAAGCTGACGTGATAAGTCCCATCTTGACCTTCTGTCCTCCAATAAACTGCCGCAGCGTACGCCAGCTCGCTCGCATCATCGAAAGTGTGTAGCTTCCCCTCGATGCAATGTGACGCCAGGCATCTCGGAACTTGCAGGCCTTGGAGCAGCTTCATCTTCTCTAGGTAGGTTTTCCATGCTTCGTACTCCCTTTCTTTTATTTCGTCATCCCAACCGACGCCATTCGCCATATGATTTGAAGCAGCTTCTTGCCTTGAATGAGAACTGGTGATGCTAAACCCAGTGGGTCAAAGGTCGACATTACTGCGCTGGTGACTTCCCTCTTCGTAGGCACCTTGAGTCCCCTTGCTATTTCCTCTGGTGTGTTTCGGAGGTTTGCCCTGAAGCCGATGGAGTCCCTTTTCGTGAACCAGCGCAGTCCTAGTGTCTTCTCTTCCTTCTCGCCTAGGTCCACTTCTGTCTTCTCAATAGCGTCACGCCTTGCAGCAGCTCGGGTTGATTTAACGCCCATCACCTGAGTTCGAAGCCTGCCTTCTGGTATATGAAGTCCACCTGCGTCGTCACTTTTCTAAAGTCCTCCTCTGAGTGGAAGCTGTACAGGTAATCATCCATATAATGGTTTAGCTCGACCACCCTTGCTGCCTCTGGATACTGCTCTTTGAAGTCCGCTGCGTTTCGGTTCTTCACATTGATTGCAGTGCTCGGAGATGATGTTGCGCCGAAGATAACTGATGTCATCCTGTACACCTTCGGAGGCACATCGCGACGAGCCCCGTGCCACAAAAACCTCAGGCTATCTCTGTCTTCTGGTCGAATGCGTTCTTGAAGAAACATTTCTTTGATGTCGGCTGCCACAGCTAGCGGGCCCTGTCGAAACCTCAGTAGTATCCCGAAGATTGACTGTAGTAGATCTGGTCCTGGCAGTAGAGCATAGTTGAGGCTTCTTCCCTTTGACTTGGCTGCAGCGTCGAAGACGATTCTTATTTTCTTCTTTAGTGGATGTACCACGGAGAAGTGAGGGAGGTACCATTTTTTCTTGGAGTCTTTTTTTGTCATCGGTGCTTCTTCCGCATATTTGCTGTCGATAAAATTCTGGATCTGCTTGATATATTCTGCCTTCAGCTGAGGGTCCTTATCTATCTTCTTTTCAATATTGAACAACTGGTTCTTGGCAGACGTGTAGCTCTCATCTGTTCATCTTCATTTTTCCATAAGAGTCCAGCTTCGAATCGTCCATCTTCAAGTCTTCTGCAGGTCTTCTCTAGGATGGCGAGTGCTCTTCCTTCTGAATTTGTGGTGGGTCTTCGTGGTTGCACGCCAAGCGCCTCGATTGCAAAGTGGTCCTTGATGGCTTGATGCATCTCTTCATCTGGTGTGCTGACATGTAGACACGTGTTCATAAAGTTTACTACTCTTACAGCCACGGTACCTATCTAATCCATGGAGCACCCATCCAAGCCCTGTCCTTGAAGCAACTGGTTGTCCTGGTTTAACTTTCCTTACTTCTTGAGTCACTATTAGCTCCCAGTTGTCTTGACCAATGAGCAGCTGTGGTGATTCCCCTTTGTAATAAAGCGGCGTTCTTCTTCAAATGTTGGCTTTCTTCTATCCTTTTCTTCTCTAAGAACTGTGGTGCAAGATTCAGCTCGTTGATAGTCCGGACTCTCTTCAAGGTCTTCTTGCTTCCTCGATGAATCCTCTTAACTACAAGGTCTAATGTCTGAGAATCCTTCTTTTTGATTTGCCTGCCTCCTACTGTCCCGATGACCAGTTCCTCTCTGTTGCTTTGAGCCCCAACTTCTTCTGCCACCTTCTTATCAATAAGCGACACTGTCGACCCTTCATCCATCAGGGCCAATATTCTTTTGGAACCTTTTGGCCCGAAGATTTCTCCTGGAACTATCTTCAGGTATGCCCTTGCGTTGTTGACTGCATTCACTGATGTCATGACGCTTGCTACTTCTTCTTGTGCCTTCTTCTCTCCCGAGGTCCTGTCTTCTGATTCGACATGCAGCAAATGATGATGCCACCGCTTACATGGTGCAGCTCTCTTTCGATGTTTCTCTTGAAGACATTTGAAGCAAACGTGACTTTTCTTTACTGTTGCCCATCGATCTTGCACTGACGTCTTCTGAAACTTCTGGCAGTCGACGAGGAAGTGTCCACCTTGAAACATAGGACAAGTCTTTTCTGTTGACTGTCTTGTATATATTTCTTTAAAGTCTTTTTCCCTTGTAAAATTCATCGCTTGTCGATGAGTTCTTCTGAACCCGCTCTTCTCTTCTCGCGAAGGCTCCATTTGTCCGCTTCGCTGTTCAGAAACTTGGAGACCATCGTCAGGTTGAAGAACTCGTTGTCTTCTGTTGTTGCAGTAAAGTCATACCATCGGAACTTGAGAATTGTAGGCATCTTTTCTATAATTTGTTTTACCAGGTAGTACTGTGGTTTCTTCAAACCCTTTATTGCTGCTACGCTGTTGTTGATTTGGCTCGCAACGACGCATATATCCCTTGGATTTTCAGAAATCTTCGGTAACGCCCTGACTTTGTCCAATTCAGCCAGCACCAGTGCATCAGGTCTTCCATATCGTCTCCTAAGGGCCTGCATTGCTGGAACAGCAGGCTCTTGATAGCTTCTCTTGCGTTGCCCTTTAGTGCTCTTCTTAGTCGAGCCATGTTTTGGACTCCGTTGAACATCGGGGCGGTATCTTCGTAGACCACCTTGAAGGCCAACCACTCGCTGCTATTGCCATCGAAGTAGGGTAGCTCGTGTATATACTTTGGCTGAGCTACTGGTCCTCCTCTTGTGGTAAGGGCTTCCTTCAATGCTGTCGTCAGCGCTTGAATCTTGCTCGTCGAATCTTTTTTCGTTGAAGAGTTCTCTTCAGGCTTCACATTTGGCTCTTCCGGAGGGTGTTGACCTCGTTGCTCGTATTTTATCATGTTGTTTTATTCCATTACTGATGTCTCGATCCAGTTCTGCACCTGTGCTGTTCTGTCTTCCTGGTCTTCATCCACGGAGTCCTTCTTTTCACACTGTGCCAGCTCTAATCTGACGCGGGCTAGCTTCGCCGCAGCTTGGGCTTGCTTCAGCTCCATGCGTGCTAATTCTTCTCTGGCTTCCAGCTCCCGTCTCCTGGCTGAGGAGCTCGTGGTCTTCATGGACCTAGCGCGACGACTGACCCCCCTTTGGCTTAAGGGTTGTGGCGGAGCCATGAACGGCCTTGTCCGGAATTTCCTCTGGAGTCTTCTTTTTTTATAAGATAGGGTGACAAACGAGCATATCCACCTGATGGTAAATAGTTACTGTGGCCCATAGACATCTACATCTATCTTACGAATCAAAATGCAGATGCGTTGTCACCCGTGAGGACTAAGATGGAATGCCTCGTTTCCAGTAAAAAGGGTCTCCGTTCTCTACACTCACAATACGAAACACAGTGTTAAGCTACTATTTCACGCTGGTATTCTGTGAGAGCGTGGTCCTTCCCCGGTTGAGCCGACCCATTCGTGCTACAACTATACTACTAATACAACTGCAGCATGGCTCTACCACGTATACACCCTTCTGTGCGGCTTCATCCTTCCGTCCGTTCTCTTCGGACGCCGCCGTGGTGGCAGTTGCAACCGTGGTCTCTGTCGTGGTGGTATCCTCTGTGGTCGTCGTGCCCGAAGAATCTGACGTAGTTCCTGTTCCTGATGGTGCTGACGCTGACGCAGACGTGACCCCTTCTGATCCCGACATTTCACCTGTCGCGTGCTTATCTGAGGGACGGGACCCGGGACGTGAGGAGGCATCCTTCTGTGACCTGGCGACCGGCATCTTGAACGAAATCTTCTGATTCTTCTATATACTTCTAGCAGGGATCCGGATTTCGAAGGACCAACTGTTTCGGACGGCAGGGACACGTCCAGTGCCCGCACAGTCGCCCTGGGACAATCTCCCACTTGATGACGTACGACCCTATTGGGACCTCGAGAGAGAGATAGACGAGTAGCTGGGAGGAGGCAATTAAAACACTTTTTTCCTAGGTAGCTTCTTGTTCCTTAGGTTTCGGCTTCCTTTTTCCTTGTTGTTGCCTCTTCGACGGCTGTGCTGCGACTGCGACTTGAGACGAAATTTCCAGGTATATATAATGTACTCTGTGGCCAAAATTAGCTTGACTTTTATAGCCGCCGGCGTTACCGTACGGACGCTTACACGGTTTTGCCTGTCTCGCGTGTTGTTTTTATTTCAAGCCGAAACCTTAGGAGTCCCTATTTATTATAACTTTACATAGCCATTACAATTTATACATCGTTAGATTTCTTTGGTACTGTTCTACAATATAAAATAATAATATAAGCTATTAATTTCTTAAATATAAAATTTCTAGAACAAAAATCCTACAAAATTGTCAATTTACTATACATTTTATCTTATATTTATTGAAACAGATGTCTGATCTACTTAGTTCTTTTTGGTTATATTACATTACATTCAAACCTTTAATTTAACACTAGTTTCCAAACGCTAAACAAAACTTAAATTTTTTATAAGTATTTTCAATAAAAAATTTCGCTTAAAGGCTTCCTTATAAAATTATTATTAAAAGCTAACCTTTATAAATTATATTCTAATATGAGTTATTACACGCTAATTACACTAATTTGGAAATTATAATAGTCTTATGAACAAAACACAGTTCGTCACTGGTTAATTATATGCCTTGTCGCCGACAAGGTGTGACATGGACATTAAATATGATCTTTGTTTTGTCCATGTTCATCTTAAGATCTATCCGTTGGGAGGCACTATTCAGGTCATTGAGCATAATGCTTAAGTCCTCCAGTAATTCTGCCATAAGGACTATATCGTCGGAAAATCGAAGGCGAGTGATGTACTCGCCATTGATGTTAATACCGTATCCTTTGCGGTCGTCAACTTGGCACTGCTGAAGAGACTGAAGCACTACCAAAATGTCGACGGAAACAAAGGCTTTCTCATAGTCCACAAACGCCAGGCAAAGTGGCAGATTGTACTCTTCGGACTTCTGTACAATTTACCGAAGGGTATGTATGTGGTCTATGGTACTAAAGCCTTTTCGGAAACCGGCTGGTTCGAGAGGCTGGAATTCATCGAGTCTGCATGCGAGACGATTCGTAATGACTCTCGAAAACAGCACGTAGACGCGGCTCAGAAGGGATATCGGTCTGTAGTTCTTCAAGAGGGCGTTGTCACCTTTCTTGAAGAACAAGACCACCGCACTTCTGCTCCACGCCTCCGGAGTGGTGCCTCCATGGAGGACGGAATTGAAGAGCTTCCGAAGGACTTCAAGTACCGGTGTTCCACCCGCTTTCAGAAGCTCCGCTGTAATTCCATCCTGCCCTCGGGCCCTGCCGTTTTTAAGGTGCTGGAGAGCCATTCTAATCTCGCTCAGACTGACGTCCGGGATATCATTGGAATAGTGTCGGATAAGACTTGCTCTTGGATCGTTACTCACACTTGCGTGTGGCTCCAACGATGATGTGTACAGGTGCCCATAGAACTTCTCAATCGCACCCAGAATCTCAGGTGTCCCGGAAACGATGCTGCCACACTCAGTCTTCAGCTTTGACAGTTGGATCTTACTAGCAGACAGATTTCTGGCAAAGACTTTGGAGCCCTGTTTCCGCTCGACCGCTTCTTAAATACGCGCAATATTAAAATTGCGTAAGTCTCGCCGCATGCATTTGGAGATTTGTCTGTTCAGTTGCCTGTATGCTGTCAAATCTGTTGACGATTGCAACCTCGTCTCTCGTCTAACAGCCATGAGATTAAGAGTGTGATCGCAGAGTTTTTGTGTTTTCCTGCGGTAGGTCTTGCAGAACTTAGCTCCGACATTCATAACGTCCATTGCATTGCAATCTTCTAGGCACTGAAAGCGGTTACGTAACTCGAACTGAAAGGTTTCGGGATTTTGAATTAGAGCACGAGGGGGACGGAGCGTTGACTTCATTAGACGAGACCTCTCCAACTGAACGTTTAGGTTCAGTGTGCCTCTAAACATTCGGAGATCGCTGCCAGTTTTCACCCTTGCGATCACTGAGACATCACTGAACAGTTGGCGTCTGGTCGTCATAGTGAAGTCAATCTCATTTTTTTCAAACCGTTGGGGAAAAATGACATTTGAGATATTGCAACAAAATTACACGAGTTACTTTATATAAGCATGTGGGATTATATAGAACTCTAAATAGGTATAGTTCTGTAATTTTGTTTTTTGGAAGACAAATTGTTTTTTATATTGCAATTGCACATAATAATTCCACGCATGTTATTGAAATATGATAGGTGTTATTGTCTGAGAGTTATTCTTCACATACTATTAACGTGGCGAAAACTTAACGCAGCCCAAATAAATAAAATGAAACAGATAAAATTCGAGTCAATATAGTATTAAACCCCTCAAACAACGGTCAAAAATTCAAAATGGTTAAAACTTACCACATACGGAAAGTGATAAAATGATTTTGTGCTTTTTGTTTGCACATAACACAACTTAGTTTCAATTCTGATCACACATCGTGCAAATTTTTTAAAATAGTGCATTCATTTATAGTCAATATCTCATACAGATTCAACATCTCACAATTACATACACAATCGCGAGGAAATGCCTACAAACGAAAAAAAGTTTTCTGAACTGACAATATCTGCAATGACGCAAAAAGCAATAGTATATATTTAACGTTAAACCTATGAAATAATTTTTTTTTTATAGGAGAGGGGCTGAACTAGCATACGGCTCATCCGATCGGAAGTGATTACCACCACCCATGAACAACTGCAACACCAGGGGAAATTGCAGATGTGTTGCGATCAAATGAAAGGAGCTGGCACTGGGGAGCCTCCACCCGGAGATGCGAACAGTTTTCCATGTGCAGCCGAACCTGCGCCTTGTAAAGTTGCAGGCAGTGAACCGGAATGAAATACTATTCCGCCCTTCTGAGCACGCCAAGCTTTTTAGAGGCCAATTTGGCCTTCTCTTGTAAGTAACCACGAAACTGCACGTCACTCGATATGTCGACACCGAGGATTCCGATACTGTCTGAGGCAACAAGGGAGTGCCTTGAAACTGAGGAGATACGACGAAGGGGTTCTTTTTAGCGGTAAACGCCTTGTGTCTTATGGGGATTAAACTGGACTAGATCTAGTAGCCCCCAGTCCGAGATTTTGTTTAAAAAATCTCGACTTCAGACACAAGTTTGTCCCGGTACTCGGAGACGTTTTCCCGAGAAATATTGGCAAGGCCGGTGTATAAAGCATCACCAGTCCTGTCGTCTGCATAGCAATGAATGTTACCGGTTTGCAGCATGTCATTGATATACAGAAGAAACAGCGTTAGTGATAGCACGCTGCCTTTTGAAACACCAGCGTTAATGGGCTTGTAATTGGAGCACGCACCGTCTACTACGACCTTGATGCTCCGATCTGCAAGGAAACTGGTGATCTAATTGCATAATTTCTCGGGAAGCCCATAGGAAGGAAGCTTCGTAAGAAGCGCTTTGTGCCAAACTCAATCGAAGGCCTTCGCTATTTCCAGACTAACGGCCAACGCCTCCCCCTTGGACTCTACTGCCTACGTCCATTTATGAGTTAGGTAACCCAGAAAATCACCAGCCGAGCAACCGCGACGGAAACTGTACTTGCGGACTCTAATCAGCTGTTAAACCTCAGGGTACCGCATGAGCAGGCTGTTAATAATGGATTCCATTATTGTAGAGAACAAGACAGTGATGGTGATAGGTGACAGGGATCGGGTGCACGAGGGCTGTCTTCAACGATTTCGGGACAAAGCCGAGGGAGTAGGAGTACCGGAAAAGACGCGTTAAAAACGGTGCCTCCTATTGTGTTAAAACAGCACAATAGAAGGGACGCCATCCGACCCTTTCGACTTGTTGACGTCCAGGGAGAGTAGTACTCTACGCACTGAGCGTTGGGTAAACAGGACATCATGTATGGAGCACTCACTCCGCGGGATGGTCGGCGGTGTGTTCCCCCCGTCATCAAGAGTCGAGTTGGATGCAAAGAGAGAGCCCAGCAGATCGGCTTTGTCCTTTGCGGCATGGACCAGTGAGTCGTCCTCCCTGTGCCGAAATGGGGGAGATGGCTGACAGAAGTTCCCTTGGAAAGCCTTGGC